GACTCCTTATCCCAAACCTGGAATAACTGTTACACACTGACTCCTTATCCCAAACCTGGAATAACTGTTACACACTTTCTCCTTATCCCAAACCTGGAATAACTGTTACACACTTTCTCCTTATCCCAAACCTGGAATAACCCTTAAACACCTTTTTCAAGGGCAAAGTTAAATACACAAAACTGGGTTAAGGAACTGGTGACTGGGACTTGTCCTGTGACTGTCCCCCTTTTTCTCCTCCCAGGCATCCCTGAACTACCACAGCAGTGCAATTCTGGCAGCAGCACTCGACACCCTCACGGTTCCCTACCGGCTCTGGTCGTCCCAGGGCTCCATGGTGCACTTTGCTGACTCCCTCACCTTCTCTGGGAGGAAGGTGAGGACACCAAAACCAGCCACCCCTGACCCCTCCAGCTCTGCTGCAGGCAGGGGATGCAGTTCTGCACTTCCAGGAGTGTGTTCCAGGCTGTTTTCCCCCCCTGATCCAGGTTGTGGCTGCGTGGGCGTCTCTCCCCTTCCCTGCCTTTCCCGGCTCCTCGCTCCCAGAGATTTTAAGTGCCCACCAGCAGGACATGCCCTGGAAGCTCCTCCTGTCCTCCTGGAGGGAGCAAAAGGTCAGCTGCTGTTTTGCTCAGTCTGTTGTGCTCCGAGGAGTTTGCAAAGAAAGGCCCAGCAGGTAAATCAGCCTCTGAACTGCACCTCTGCCCTCGGAGCTGCGGCTCTGCCAGCGGGGATTCCTCCCAGGAGTCACCCCAAACCCCTCCCTTGGGAGAGGAGCTGGATGGAGGAGCAGTCTAGTGACTGAGCCAGTTTAATTTTAGAGCAAAAACAGCTAAAAAGCAGCTGAGTCAGTGGCGTTTTCAGCCTGGAAAGCCCTGATTTGGTTTCCTTTGCAGCAGCTCCCTGGGACAGCAGCCCCGGACGCCCCTGCAGGGCTGTGAGAGCCCTGAGGAGATGCTCCAGCACTACCTCCACAGCCACTTCCCAGGCTCCTTCAGGTGGGTACAGGTGTGGGGGGGGTTGGTTTAGACCAGGGAACAGTTTTGAGGGTGTTTTGGGGTAACTTTATTCCCCTGTTCCCCCCCAGCACAGCCCACGTGCTCCAGCAGCCCTGCGACACCCGACCTCCCTTCCCCCAGTTCTTCTCCCCTCTCCTGACCAGACAAGGCTTCCTCCAGGACAAAGCTCC